TTCAACCTTATGTTCTGTGTTATCTCTTTATGTTTCATCTGAATTTGTTGGCAAGACTCTAATATGCTTTAATACTTCCCTTGTGCCATTGCATGAGATCTGAAATTTAATAAAGCAGTTCGCTGTCTGGCATAGACTCTGTTTCTTATTCCTTAATAACTCTTTGCTAGTGTAGTCCAGTACTTGTGAAGTTGAGAAGGGCAGTATTTTAAACTAGCATTGCTAACAGTATGCAGTATTGTTCAAACTATTACACAGATATTTAAATACTCTTAATTTTTTTTTTGACAATCCAGTAAATAGAATGTAGTCTTATAGTTGGAAAGTTCTTGTTGTTATAAAATTCTTTTACTTATGTCTAAGCTGCTGCAAGGAACTGTAACATTTTATCTTCACAAAGAGATAATCACTTTTTATGTTTCTAATGATAACATTTGTGAGTCAAATGATAGTTCGAAAGAACCTCAGAGAAACACGACATCTTAAGCAAGAGAAGAAAATTAAGGACTTTGTCTTAGGACACTATCAAACAAGTTGCACTCAGTGGACAAATACTATTGCACTTTTATTTCAGTTTCTTCTAGCTTGTGATGTGGACCCTTCTTCTGTCCATGCTTTTGCTACCTTTCCTTTACTGCACTTTTTCTGTTTTGGTGTGTTAATTTGCTACATAACACAGCACAGAAAGTTAACCATAGCACACTCAGGAACAGATAGATTACTACCTAATAACAATCAGATATTGGGGAGAGCTGGGAAGGTAATGAATTCCAATTCTTGCTTACTTAAAGATCAGGGAAAGGAGGAAGACCACCTGTTATGCTGAGCAGCGACTGATGTGTCCTGCTAGAGAGAAGGAACTGCAGCAATGGAGACCTGGCCTTCTAAGAGCGTGTTTTGAACAGCTAATTGGATGGGTGTATTTGCCCTAGCACTAAATCTGTGACTCTTTTTGTTGTTAAACTAAAAAAAAAAGATAATCCAGCAGCAGAACAAGTGTGCTTCTCAGCCACCTATTTAACAATTTCAGTTGTTCTTTCCAGTTTTTAGCTAGCTGTCTCTGGGTAGCTGTTTCTCTCCTTAAAGTAGTATTTCTCACAACCTGAATCTCACTGCTCTGCTACTATGCATTTTAAAGCTGCATGAGAGAAACAGTTAGCAATGATGCTGAAGATTGCTTTCATTGCTCCACACTATATGTTCTGTAGTGTAAAATTTTAAGTCTTCTTGGATTAATATATATTTTACTTAAGATGTAAACTTTGCTTGAATGTGGTTTTAATTTACAAAAATTTTGTTCCTGTAGTAAGGTTTGCAAATGGAAGTAGGATTATAAATAGATTGCAAGGTGAACAGAAAAGTTGGGGAACTAGTGTTTTAATTAAGTTTGAAAGTCCTTAAACAGTTTCCTTCCTTAACGTAATTCTCCTGATAGTTTCTTATAATGCTTCTGCTTATAGAGCAGGCAGTTCACTACTTTGTTTTCTGATGGAACATTATAAAAAGGATGAATAAGGTGCTGAAGGCACTGAAGAGAAAACAGTTTTCTTAGTAGAGAATGTATCTATTAATAAAAATAAGCTTCAAAATACTACTACACAATGCAGCAGTGTATGGTATCACATTATGTTTTAAATCAATGAAAAAATTGATACAGAATATTTTGTTGGCCTAATAGTAACAAAGTGTCCTTTCTGCTATTGCTTTTGTTACTATTACTGGTTTTCTCTAAAACTGGCTTTTAATATGTTTTAATTTCAAAGTATGTGTAAATTTTTTCATCATAAGGAGGGGATTACGTTCTGTTCAAGGTGATTCTACATTTTAATACATCAATATGTGTGCATCAAACCCAATGTTTAGTTTGGTGTACTGAAGAAGAGATGTGATGGGGTGTAGCCTTTAAAACAGGTCTAAAGCTGGCATAACAGGTAAGATTTAAAAAAAAGTCTTCAACAGATTTAGTTGTTTCTACCTGAAAAAGAGCTTTTAGTTGCAGTATGATTTAAGGGAGAGCTGTAGGTCTCATTTCAGTAATGTAATGATTCAGAGCTCAGATTAGATTAGGGAAGCTGCATGTGTTTTGGGAGGGGCATAGCCTAGCAAATCTGTGTGGCAGAGGCAAGGGCTAGCTACTTCTCTCCTTTACACGTACATTCTTTTGTCCAAAAAAAAAAAAAAGGCATGCATGTTACTAAGAGTAATGTATTCTTTAGAACTGAGCTGAGTTGCACCTGATGATATCATAGAAGTCATCTGAGGATAGTACATTTGATCATAATGTCTGGGTCTATATCTACTGGGTCTGTAGTTTCCATCATGTTACTTTCTTGTAGTCACTTAATCATATTTCAATGAGAAAATACCATGCCAGTTGATGTTAAACAGAGATACACATAAAATAATTCAGACTAATTCAACACTGTTTTTTCCTAGATAAGGCTGTGAAATACACATAATACAGACTGTCTTATTCCATGTATTAAAAAACAATTCCCTTTATTCCTAATGCTCCTTTCCTTTTATTATTTTCTAAATCAAATGCATTGACAAATACTTTGATGTGATGCATCATCTTCCTTAAGTCAATACTAAGCATAGATTTGGTCTCCTTGGGGTACCCACCCTCACTTTAGCTAAGCTTTTCCCAGTTACTTCCTCTTTATTCTTCCTAGTTTAACAGCTGTATGTTGCCAGTGGACCAAAATATGGACTGTGCCATCCATTTCACTGCCTAGTAACTCCCTTGAAATTCTGCTCCTCAATAAAGTTCTCCTGTAAGTAAAAACTGACTCAGCATGCATTAGCTGTGACTGCTGAGTATTCATTTGTGGAAATGTCCACAAGTTAATGAGCTCATATTTGATGGAGCTCACCACAGTAGATTACTTGAGGGGCAATTTGGTGCTATGGCTAAGCTGGTGTACTGGCAAACTGCTACCATAAGGGGTTTTCCCCACTCTGGGTGAAGAGTACGTTTAAGACTGCTCCTCTGATGAAAAAAAAATTCTTTGATGGTTGTTAGTTCTGTATGCAGAACCACTCTTGGTTGCATCTGCCAGTGGCACACCCTGTGGCTGCACAAATCACACAGTTTTACACTAGAAAAGCAGCAGGCATGCACAGCTGGAGACAAGGAAGACTAGAAGTGAGGCTGCTTTTTGGCAGTACATGGCCTTGTCATTATTTCAAACTTCCAAACAAGAATACAAGAAGAAACATTGTGGCATAATTTTCTCAGAAACTCTTCTACGTCTATGAAACAACAAGCCACTCTTCAATAGAAGTACTGACTAAAGGTTTTGCACCTTTCCTACCCCTTCCTATGCCTGCACAGGATTCTGAATCATGCCATGTAACTATTGACTGCTGACGAACACAGTAAAAATCTGATCTGGCTCAGCTGGAAGACTGTTCTTACCATTAGTCTCCCTCCTTAGGGTCTCTTCTTTGTCTTCAAGGATTATGTGTGCAATTTAAGAGTGTTGCTGGCATGAAGAGTCATACTACTCAAAGTAAATGGAAAGTTTGAAACTACTTAAAGAACATTATAAATGAATCACAGAATCATTAAGGTTGGAAAAGACCTTTAAGATCATCAAGTCCAACCATTAATCCATTGCATCCAACTGGATGCAATGCTTTAATAAAATTTAGATCAAGATCACTGCAATAAATGACTACTTGCTGGTGGGATAGAATGTTTTGGGTAAATGCTGCTTGCTTCTTGGAGTTAGGATTCACTAATTACCGATGATAAGTTCCTGGCATCATTTTATATCTGACTTCCTGACTAAAAAACCTGGTTGCAATACTTGTATATTGAAAAAGTATGTAAAACTGAAATGTGTGACATGGTAATGTGACAGCTTCCTTTTAATTATTGTTGCCTGAGGCTAAGTTTGACTATTTTGAAATGATGGAAAGTTCTGCTGTATTTATGCTTTGAAAGTTAAAAACTGAAATTCCTGCATTTTTCAACAAAGAGAATCCTTGGAGCAGGCGTGCTGTTGGATTTTCTACTGAGCTTTAGGTCTTTCCCTGATGCTTATGGATTTCCTAGAAGACTGCAGATTTCTCCACTTTAATTGCGGTAGCAGAGTTCCTTCTGGATAAAAAGCCAATTTAGTGCTCAAATGGAGTAAACTAACTTCTATCATGAGGTATCAAAAGAAAGTAAATATATCCTATCTGTAGCAAGAAAATACAATGTGATGAATAGAAAAAGAATTTAGAAAGCTCAATAAACCTGCCTGTAGTAGTACAATTAGACTATTGCATGTTGAATCAAAATGGATTTGTGCAGTACTTGTTTAGTAGCCAAGTAAACAGAGCCTTTTTTTTTTCTTTTTCCAAGTTTTCTTGATGTCACAGCAGTTTCACATATAAATATGAGAATAAAATGTTCAGCCTACTTTTATTTTTTTAAATGATTTCTTGGTAATAAAGCAGTGAGAGCTAATTACATTGTGATGGTATTATGTTGCTGGTTGTGCTGACTAAGTAAAAAGGCAACATACATGCTTAAATAGTTCTTTTGACTAAATGTTCAACAGCAAGTTAACTTTTAACAGAGAGAGGGCAAGAGGTTCCACCATTAAAAAGTAAATTCTGTTTGAAACTGGTGTTTTAGTGAATATCTTGTGACCTTATGGAAGAGCATTGACTGAGAACCCCGGAGATAGAAGTATGAGAGAAAGGTTATGATTCCAACTATGAGTGTTAGCAATGTCATCCTTTCTGTATCAGATTTTTCAAGGTAAAAGATTTGTATCAGAAAATACTGAGAGAACATTGTACTTCTGCAGGCTTGTTATTTGTCTTATTAATTTTGCCATAATCAAGTTTGACAGGCTTCTCTCTATTTTTTCCAGCAGACAATATTATTGTTGAAGATTAGTCAGATGCCTTCCATCCATTCCCTGCCTCACATGCCATGTCATGCAAGCTTTGAAACACTTAGCACATAATTTAAACAAATGACTAATTTGGCAAGCATAATGGAAGGCACGCATACTGTCCTTCAATTGCACAAACCCATTATGGAGCTTTGTTACGTCAGCTTCTATCTTCCAGAGGGAAAAGTCAGAGGATTTACTTACAAGGGCTGTGTAACTCTGGATAGAACCAGTAAACGTTTCTGTAGCTGCTATCAAGTAAGACAGAGGTTAGAGATGGAGCTGAGAGAACAGCCATATGAAAACTTTGGAGATATTGTTTTCAAGCAAACTACCACGAAAGACATTCTCATTGAACTGTACAAACTAACTGCTGAAAAAGAAAAACTGTTATCCAGTCTTTTGAGATCACATCATATTCTGGGCCTTAACACAGGACATCAGGAGGAAAAGCGACAGGAAGTTTTTGGAGTCCCAAAGCTTAAAGGTGGCAAGTATTCCAGTTTTACACATCAGCAGGAGTTCTTTTTGGATTCCACAAATAGAGACAATTTGAATCACAAAAAAATGAGGAAATGTAGAAGTAAAGAGAGCTTTGAGGAGTTCAGACACCGGAAAGGGGGAAAAAAGATATATGAACAACATCTTTCTTCACTGAGTATGCAAGACATGCAACTGGAAAACAAGAAGGTACTCCCCACAAGATTTCCTACTAGGAGTTTTCCCTGTTCCTTTTCTGCCTCCAGTTGGTTAACAGGAAAAAGTAAGGATGATTTACCAGTGGACTACAGTATACAACCAGAAAGGTGGATAGAAGAGGAGTGTTTTCTTGAGAGCAGCAAAGCTGTGAAACTGGATGCTGACTTACCAAGTTCTAGCTCAAAAGACAACAATGACATGGTCGCAGTTGAACTAGTGGATAGTGGAGAATGCATTCCTGAAGTTATGAAGGTACAACAGAGTATCACTTTGGTAAAGTCATCTCAGGATCATCTAACAAACAAACCTGAGACATTAAGTAAATCTGCAACTGCTAAAAGCTTGAAAAGTAGCAAGTATACTGAGCTGGTATGCAAGGATAAACCAGGAATCACAGCTGTTGCTGAAATACAGGATTCAGAAGCTTGTATTAAAAAAGTTGCCAAACACCCTGCAGAGTCTTTACCTGATTTTCACAGAGATAAAGAAACTATTTCTCCTGTTCTACCAACAGTACGTAATGAGTTTATATCAAGAACTGATATATACTCCATAGGTGAAGCTGCTGGAGATGCTAGAAGCACTGTGCTGCAGGAAAAGCAGCGAGACGGCTCTGGTTTGCAGTACAAAGCAGAGAGGGCACACGTTACTGATGAGTCATGCAACCTTGTGGGAGCAGTCAATAAAGCTCTTCTGAAAGTTATAAGGAGTGACAGTTTAGATGAAGCTGCAGAATGGAAGAGACTGCAACAAATTACAAGAGTAGACAGAAACCTGCCAGGCTCAATATATGAGAAAAGAACCACGGTATCCCGGGGAAGCAGCAAGCATTTATTTTTGAACCTGCCTGTAAATGAAAGTCCTGATATTTCTCAGACAAGTAATAATCTTAAACTGGAAGAGAAAAGGCTGCATTCACCCTCGTTGGTAGCAGTGAGTAATGTTTCTAGTAATTCATATCTGCTATCTAATACACACAAACAAATGTCACCTATTCCTTCTCCGTTATCTTCGAGACTGCCTAGCCCGCAGCTGCATCATCGGATACTCCCATTAACAACACAGAACACTGAGGACGAATCTATGTTCCGTGACTATGGCAGTGGGAGACATGGTGCTATAAACCTCTCTTTCAGTGACTTGGAGCCACAGTTTTATCTGAAGTTTTCTGAACCTGGAGAATTGGGATTTGCCACCAGACAACCAGGCCTACATCAGAATGCAACAGCAGGGCATTTTGAAAAGCATGCTGTACAAGAAAAGTTAACTACTCAGACACAGCAGAATTTCTGTCCAGGTCAGTCCTATTTCATATTTCATTTTTAAACTAACAGAATTGAGCAGTCATGAAAGTATTGGAGTGTTTTTTTTTAATACTAGCCTTTAATAATAAATAGTAAGTTTGCAATGAAAGTATTTTTCACTACTTAAGGATTGAGTGAAAAGTTGTTGTATTTTTTAAACAAAAGTTATAGCTATGTAAGATTTCCTTTCAGATGCATTTTTTTATGTCAGCTTATATTCAGTCCTGTTGTTACTGAATGACCTCTTCATCAATGTTAATTAAATATTTTTCTATATAAAATGGAAAAAGGTTTACGTGCGTATTTTCATGCTTTTCCTGTGCTGTGTTCTAGGCCATCAAAATGTTCTGGTAACACTTATTATGCAAAATTTTCTTTTTTGTTTGTTTGGCTTAACTGATAGAATATTGTCTGGGCAAGCTAATTTACATTGTCTTAAGTATAGGGCTAGTGCTTTGACCATTTAGGTACAAGAGGTTGATGTAAATTCTGTAACAACAGAAGGCTTGTTTTTAAAAGGACTGCATGCAGAAGTCATGTTACACTGTATCTGAGTACAGTGCATGGGTTTATTTATAAATATATAGTGTGAATATAAAAATGCATAAATATATGGCATACTGAATAGCTATCTCTGTTAGCTAGAACTTTAACATCTATGCCCTTCATTTTTCCTGTTAGATACAGGAAGACTGGAGGATCTAATTCTACAGTGGTCTAAGTGTGGCTTAGACTGGTCCTTATGTGTTGTAAGGAGGGCTGACAGTGCACAGTGACATGATTTCACTATAAAATGGAAAGAAGTGCTAATTTGCAGCCTTATCACTTTTCATGGAAAATAGGATAATTTTCTATAGTCTCAAATTAAAAGGGAAACTAGAAAACAATATGGAAAAAACCTGTTGATAACTGTATTTCTTAGTATTTACCTAGACTTGAACCTCTTGTGTGATACATTTTTCCCACTCCCACCCCTGCTTCACTTTAAAGTGCGTTTGGGTCTCCTGCCATACCTTTGGCTGATTCAGCTCACTAAAATGGCACAAAAATATTCTCTCTTTCTCTCTCTTTTTTTTTTGGGGGGGGGGAGGGGGGAGTGGGGATGGCAGAGGGTAGTCTGCCATTTTAGTTACCTAAATTGCCTCGCAGGGTGGCCCAATGAATGACTGACAGAGCTGGTGCAAGATGAGTTACAAGATTCTGCAGTCTAAACCAGGGAGGAAGACATGGGCATAAGGAGAGGGGGTTTCCAAAAGGGGAGGTGAGTAGGGATGTGAAACTACTACCTTAGCTAAAGGGTGTTGAATGCTGCCTATGAGGCTTGCATTTATGCCTGTTACTTCTAGAAGTTGCTTTAGTTCCACTCAAGACTAAATCAAATTTAGAGTGGTGTTTGATGAGTTAACAAAGCTGATGCAAACACTTATTGGCAGCAAAAAAGATGGGTGTTATACCCGTGTTCTTTTGTTCCTTTCTTGGTTCCTGTTGTGCTGTGTTGTCCTCTCTCATTACTTCTTGTACTCATCATATGTTTTGGTGAGCTGGTTTAGCTCACGAAACCAGCAGAAAATTTCACCCCTTTTTAAGTGGCAGAGCCAATCTTGTTCTACCTGCTTCACATTAGTATTTTTTAAATTAGTTTATCATTTAGGTTTGTTGGATGTGGAACTGTACCTGTTGTGCTGTGCTCTTGTACTGATTTTGCCTGGGATAGACTTAATCTTCTTCATAGTAGCTTGTATGGTGCTATGTTTCAGATTTGTGATGAAAGTGGTCTTGATAACACACTAATATTCTAGCTTGTGCTGAGCACTGTTTGCACAGCATCGATCCCTTCTCTGTTTCTCACTCTGCCCCCCCCAGTGAATAGACTGGCGAGGAGACACACCTGGGCAGATGACCCAAACGAACTGAAGAGATATTCCCTGCCATATAATGTCATGCTCGGCAATGGGGGAAAGAGGGGGCTTTAGGGGTGTTAGCCATCTTTTGCTCGGGAACTGGCAGGGCATCAGTGTACCCATGGGAGACGGCAAGTGATTGATTTTGCATCACTTGTTTTGTTTTCGTCCCTCTTCTTCCACTTATCCTTCGCTTATTAAACAAATTTTGTTTGTTTGTTTGTTCTATCTTGACCCCCAAGTTTTCTCATTTTTATTTTTCCTTTCCTCTCCCCCCCAATCCCACTTCGGGTGGAGGGGAAGTGAGTGAGCGATTATGTGGTGCTTATCTGTGTTGTTAACCCACAACAACTCTGTAAGAAACAAAACAAAACTCACACACACACAAACAGCATCTGTTGGCTGAAAATCCTGACTGTTAAGCAGAAACATCTTTGTGGAGAGAACAAAGTGCAGACAAAACAAGACCTTAGTTCTCCTTTACAGTTATCTTGCAACATTACTACAGATAGAAAATATCACTGCAACTTTCTGAAAGATGTAATACTAATCTGGGTTGGTTTCTTTTTTGTTGTTTGTTTTTTGGGGGTTTTTTTTTTACATTTTCATGTATGACTGCATGCCAGCATTATTACTGGTGTGTCAGAAAATCTGTAACTTTGAGGAAAACTTTCCTGCTTTGCTGGCATAACTAACACTGTAGATATGTCTCTGGATCTGGGAAAATATAACTTTCCATTTTGTTCTGAATCAGGGGTGGAGTCAGTCTTATTAACAGAGCATTGGGAGTACCACTCTTCTGTAAACTGACCTAAGTGATAACTGACTGTAGTGCAGTGGGGCAAATGATGTATTTCCAAATTTAACCAACGTAAGGGATGTTAAGATTTACAGCTGTAAATTTGCAGTCCTGGTTTGAACTTTATCAGATTCCTCCCATGGATGAAGAGAAAAATTCAAGACTATTGTTCAGATTTGTCTTTAATAGGGTGCTATTGTGAAATGATTTCTTTCAAATCTGGTCTGTTATTAAATGGTGTAAGTATCTACAATGAATCTAAGAGTTATGGACAATTTTGTCTGACTCTTTATCAGTCCAGTTGGTTGAAGGATTTGTTTCATGTCAAAAATGCTGGTCTTAGGAATGACTTTTCAAAGTTATATTACTCTCACAGTTTGCACTACTTAATACTGCAAAACATTTGGAGCCTTTTATTACCTGTGTAACTTTGTATTTGGAAAACTTCATGAATGGGTTAAAATATTTTAATTTATTAGTTTAAATAATGAATTGGACTCATCATACAGCTCTACACATAATTTTCTCTTTCCTTATTGTTTTAAATCATGATTCCTCACTCTCTCTCTCTCTGTATAATTGGAGAATATTCCTTCAGTCAAAACTGAAACGTTTAGCGAAAGCAGAGTGCCTTTATTTCTGTACTTCCACTTTTTCTGCAAGTTCAGTTTCTTTACAGCAAATACTTACGGCACAAATTTCGTAGCCTCATTACACAAAGTTTTTTCAGTAATTCACTTGAAAGTACAGTTTTCTGGATCTTCCTGTTGAAGTGCAACTGCTGACCATGGGAACAGGCCACAGCTTTTATCTTAGCAAGTTAACTATTAACTGGGAAGAATTTATAGTTCAACAATAATTATTTAGCATTTTTTTCTGTAAGTGGGACTGTGAATCAACTTTCCTATATTTGCATGTAATAGTTCCATTTGAATTATCAAAATTCAAAGTAAAAGCTTTAGAATAAATGAAAGCTTTCAAGAAATAAACTGTTCATCTTCAAGCAACAAAAACAAAAGTACCAACACTAAAATTTCTCATAAAAAGACATTTACTAAATCCTCAGAAACATGCTTCCTGCATTTCTGTAGGAAGTTCTTTCTACTTTAACATAAAATACATTATGCTTTTATAGCCCTGGAGAAGCCAAGCTTGCTTTTGAAACGATCCTCAATATATCTGAATATCTGTCTCAAGGAAAGGTTTTCTGAGTCTTTTAGTTCCTGACTGTGCTTCTCTCTCAAGTTGTTCACGGTGGTAGGAAAAAACTAGGGGGGGAATTTTCAGAGCTGTTTTATTTAATTACAATGGAATGACACTGATATGCCCTTTTACTAAGTATTATCTGAAAGAGGAGGAAGATTAGTGATATTTTTAGCAGTTACTGAAGTGAGTTAGATTCAGAGCAGGAAACATAAAAATAAAAATCTCTGGTTATGATGTAACCCCTATGACTTAGGGCAGGTCAGCCAAGACATCCCATTATTCCAAGACAGTGACTGATGACTGTGCTTTGAGTCAGGATGAGACTCGGATGGGTCATTCATCACACTTTCTGGTTTATCTATTAGTGCTGCTGTGGAAGAAGAATAAAAAACTGGGAAGGGGGAATGGTGACAGCAAGAAAGAGAACAAATGAGAAGAATGGTGTTACCCTACCCCCCCAGTCAATGAAGATTGCCCCATTTGTGATATCTAGTAGTTGTGAAAGAAGAACATATCCAACAAACACAGAAATCCAAATTTTCTGTAGAGAAACTGAAACTCATGTGGGATAGAACTGAATGATTAAGGCTTGTGCCAGGTAAAATGGCTGAGCCTATGGTACTGTAAGGGACGGGTCCATTCTCTCCTTACTATCTTCCCTTTTCCCAGCAAAGGCCTCGTCTCTCACAATCCCTCTCTTTCTTTTTAACAACTTTGGTGTTTTTAGTGCTTTTTGGTGATTTGAGTCGGGTCACTAAGCAAGTTGAAAACTGAGCCAGCAAGGAGAGATGTGAGTAGCTTTTGCTGATTTAGTGAGCTGAACCGTTCACTAGTGATCTGATGAAAACCAAAGCTACAGTGAGAGGGGACATGAAAGTGTGCTGCCAGGAGGCAGGAAGGACAAGTGAGCAAGACCACCCCTTGCTGGCAGCATGAAATCATTAGATCTCCAAAACCTCAGTTGCATTTAAAACCGGAAGCCAGGAGGCTGGCTGGGATTGGCTAAAACAGAAGTTGTGGGGAGTGGGAGATAGAGGTAAATGAAGTTGGATGAGGATGTGGAGAGACTGCGATCTTTTAAGTGAAT